TAAATCAGGTCTATAAGCCACAAAAGAACAAAAGGCACTCTTATAGTAGTTCAATTGAGGAATTATTTCGGTAGGAAAGTAATCATTCTTGTCTGTAGTCCTCAATTAGTGTTAATTGTAAGAAAAAGCTTATTAGGAATATTTAAATTTTAAACTCCCCCGTGCAAGCATATCTGAATTCCCAGTAGCTAGTGTGAGGCAAAGTGTATTAATTAAAATTCCACTTTAGGAAATCCTTCTCTATCCCATGTTCATTATTAAGATGAAAGATAGAGAACAGGTTTTGATTTTCTATAAAGATCTTAGTCATTGTGGCAAGGATTTAAATGGTGGAGGAAAGCATTTGGAACGTTAATGGAATTCTGATCATTTTACAAGACTTAGACCTTTTACGACTCTTCTGACCCAAAGGAGGGATTTGCACAGGTTTGCAAAGGTCTAGGACAATACATTGCCAAAGTCTGGATCCCAGAACTCTTTAGTCACTTTCTAAAGGGACTAATGATTTTTGAATGCTTCAGTTTAGATAATCTGCTATATTAAAATATACATACATATTTATTCCTCAAGTCCCACTGGCCAGCCTAAACAATTTAAAAGTTTTACAATCTATTTCACGGAGCCGTCTTTACCTGGAGTAAGTGCTGGCCACATGAGTAAGGGCAAGAATTCAATTCCCATTGCATTTTACTAAATATATCCTGTTATCAATATGCATCTTTCAGACTATCATAATCCAATTATCTCTATCATACAAAGAGCTGCATGAGAAGTAGGGAAGTAGAGCTTGCACACAAGAAAGAGCTGGAGTTCCTTGTGCAACCAGTCAAGAGCACAGTGAACAAATATTTTGAAAATGTTGCCTTATGCAACCAAAGACTAAACTGTAACTTGCTTCTATGCCCATACCTGGCAGGGAAATTGGGCCTTCATAATCTGCCCCTCTTTTGTACCAACTAAAACTGAGAAACTCTTCTGAAAAAATAGCCTTCTGAGAGACACATAAGCCTTTCTGCAAACTGACTGTTAAGCTAAGAGGGTACCTGTATATTCCTGCCTGATGTTTGAGCTGACTGCAGTGCAGCTCTCACCTCCTTTGGAATTCCTCCTGGAATTTGGTCAGGTGTAGTTGTGTCTATGCCAGTGTTTATATTTCCACTCTTCTAATGATGTGAGTGGGGAAAATGTGACCACTGCACTTATGGCCGTGTTTTCTTGTTCCTTCCCAGAGATATCGAAGAAACTGAACTGAAAGTGTTCAGACTGTAGAGTCTGAGAGTAGAGTAGAGTAGAGGCAAAAATTCCTGTCATTGCTGCCCCTGCAAAACAGCTGATATGGAAAAGGAGCTAAATATAGACTAGGTGCCTACAAGTTTACAATAGCATAGCAAATGTAACCTAAGATGCATTAGTAGAAATACTCCCATCAGAGGTGAAGAACTCTAGCAGATGTTTACAGTAAGACACTGATCACATGCAAAATGAGGAAAAGCTTCTTTACTCTGAGGGTGACAGAGCACTGGAACAGTCTGCCCACAGAAGGTGTGGAGTGTCCTTTTCTGGAGATACTCAAAACCTACCTGGATGTTTTCCTATGTAACCTTCTGTATGGAACCTGCGTTAGCAGGAGCATTGGACTCAATGATCTCCACAGGTCCCTTCCAACACCTATGATTCTCTGATTCTGTAATTCTGCCAAATATGAACTAATGTGGTATAGGTTGGTGGAAAAAAAAAGATATCGTGATGACTATTGAAATGGGAAAGGAAGTTTATCAAGACAGTTCAGAAGAGCTCTACTTTGTTTAGGCTAACAAGGCAAATACTGGAACAGAACATAGGCTAATTGCCTATAAATACATCAAAGAGATAAACAATGAGGAAAATATTTAAACTAGAAACCAACGATGGCAAAAGAAGACAAACTGCAAACCAGTAATTAATAGATTTAGCATATAATTTGGAAAGGAAATCCTAAATATTATAGAAGTGTCAGACTTGCTTTTGGAGTAGTAAGTCTAGAGCAAAGTAGTATAGGCATGGTTTTTTTTGTTGTTTTTTTTTTTCCCTTGTTGTTGTTTTGTTTGTTTGTTTGTTTATTTGTTTTGTTCCAATACGTAAAATACTGTATATTTACAACAATTGAAAGACCCAGCATTGGGCATCCTTTAAGATATTCTGTCCATGTGCATATTTGCACAACAGAAGTTCATACACCAGCCACAGAAAACAGGAGAATTGTTCAGCTTTGCTGCAGAACAGCCACTTGCCTACTAGCTTTGTAAGTCATTTCTTACGTCCTTCACTTCCCAGATGAGTAATGAAATGACACAGTCAGTCAATCGCACCTTGGCAGAGCAAAACTAAGCAGTACATCTATTTCCAGTACAGGATCCAGTCTGAAGACATCTAAGGTAGAATTTGACTACTCTAATGTGGGTGTTGTCTACATCTGAGCTTGTCACCTGGCACTAATACCTCTTCACTTTGTAGTTAGTGCAGAGTTAGTAAGTCTAATTCTTCCTCTGGCTAGAGGTTGGGCTCTGATTCATGTCACCCTGAAACAGGCAGTATGTTTGGCCAGATGGATCTCACTCTCATCCCACAGAATACATAATCTACAAAAACAAATTCCTATTGACTATAATAGGAAATCTGACAATTAGCTCAGCTCACCATGTTGTAGACCCTTAAAACTGGATGAGATGAAGTAATCTGCTCTGGTTGCTAATAAAAATAACCACACTTTTCAAAGAGAAACAAGAAACCAAACCAAGCCAAATGATCTTCTAATACAAACTATTCACTACATTGCAAACACAGGATAAAAGTTGTGCTTATGGTTTCATTATAAAGGATTTGTCTGCTGAAAGATGAGATTACCCTAAGCCTCTGCTTTTGAGTTTTCAGCCCCGAAGTATGGAAATATCACAAAAGAAAGTGAACTTCTGTTTGCTACTCTCATAGCTAGGTAAGCAGCCAGCATTTGGCAACTATGACAAACCTTGGCTCTTTCAAGTTTTATGACAAAGATTTAATGGACAATTTGCAAGCGTTAGGTCTCTGCAGCATAGTGGCAAACAGCTTTCTTCTGCCTGGGCCTGTAATTTTACAAACATGAGCTCCACAGATCAAAGGCAAATTTGAAATGCATTTTCAGCATGGTTCTGAACCACCCAGAGAAACTGCAGCTAGAGTTACTGCACATCTTCAAAATTTTGACACAGTGGATGATTTAAACATATACTTGTCATAGTTTACATGCTGAGTGTTGGACATGCAGCACTTAGATCTGTGGAGCTCATGTGATCGTAACAGTGATCCTATGGACAAGGAAATATGATTTCAAAGTGCACAGAAAAGACAGAAATAATTTTGGTAAGATTTATTATTGTTTACACTGAGAAATTGTATTAGTTGTTTGTCGTCATGAAGACAAGTAAAGGAGCTGAAAACGTAATCCTAAAAAATTATTGAAATGCTTTTATTGCTATAGATGTGAAGTTTTAACAGATCAAAAGGAGCTCTGGTAAAAAGCACCACAAAAGCATAGTCACTGACAGTTCAGTGGTATTGTTTTCCAAAAGCGGGCCTTGTAGCCTGTTGATCTTGTAGCATGAGAGAATCTCAGTGGATAAGGAACTGGTTGGAATGCCACAGCCAGAGGATTGTTCTCCAGATGAGCAGTGATGAGCAGTGTCCCCCAGGGGTCCAGCATGGGACCAGTGCTCTTTAACATCTTTATGAGTGACATAGATGATGGGATTGAGTGCACCCTCAGTAAGCTTGCAGGTGACACCAAACTGAGTAGTACAGTTGATAAGGGAGAAGGAAGGGATGCCACCCTAAGAGACCCCGATAAACACAAAAGGTCCTGGTTAACCTAGTGAGGTTCAACAGAGCCAAGTGCAAGATGTTGAACTTTGGTCCGGGCAATTCTAGATATATATACAGACTGGGAGAAGAACTTAAGAGCAGCCCTGCTGTGAAGGACTTGGGGGTCATGGCAGATGAAAGACATAACATGAGTCAGCAATGTGTGTTTGCAGCCTGGAAGGCCAACTGTATTCTGGGCTGCATCAAAGACAGATGGTCAGCAATGGTGGGGAGGTGATTGTTCCACTCTACTCTGACGTCTGCAGGACCCTTCTGCAGTACTGCATCCTTTTCCAGGCTCTCAACACGTGAAAGATGTGAAGAGCTTCCAGAGAAGGGCCACAAGGATGATCAGAGGCTGAAGGATCTCTCCTACAAAAACAGGTTGAAGGTCCTGGGCTTGTCCAGTCTGAAGAAGGCTCTAGGGTGACCTCATTAAAGCCTTCCAATATTTAAAGGGATATTATAAAGGGAAAATTTTATTTTTTTTTTTTTTTACATTGGTAGACAGTGTTAGGACAACAGGAGAATGAGGTTTTAAACTAATGGTGGTAAGATTAGATGTAAGGGGAAGCTTTTTTGCTGTGTGCTGAGGTGCTTTGAACAGGTTGCCCAGAGAGTCTGTGGGCCCCATCCCTGGAGGTGTTCAAGGCCAGGTTGGATGGGGTACCGGGCAGCCTGGTCTGATGCCTGATGTAGTGGCTGTCAACCCTGCTCACAGCAGGAGGGTTGGAACTAGATGATCTTTAAAGTCCCTTCCAACCCAAGCTATTCTATGATTCTATATTCATTTCCTTCATATATGTGCCTGTTTAATGAGGAGGAAAGGACGAGGAACCCACTGCCTACAAACACAAAAACACATTTTTCGTGCTTTTCACTCGGCTGCCCCGTGTTTTCATACCAGCAAGGGCAGCGCACCACACACCGGCAGCCGTGCCCTCAGCCCAACCCCTTCCCCTCTCTGCCAGCCGGGAGCCGCTCAGAGGAAGGCGGCAAGCCGCTCTACTCCCAGCCCGGCGTTGCGGCCCCAAGGGGCGGTGAGGGCCGTCCCGCCCGCTCCGGCCGCCCAATGGGAGCGGCGGATGTTAGCGGGCCGGGAGGTGGCGGCGTTGCCACAGCAGCGGCGGCGGAGCGGGACTGGGTTGGGCGCTGGCGGTCGGGGCGAGCCATGGAAGGGCTGGAAGGTGAGGGGCAGCGGTGGGGGGCGGCTAGAAAGGCCCCAGACGTCCGGCGGGGCAGCGGGAACCGCTCGGGGTGGGCCACGCTCCGGTTTCGTGGTGCTGCGGGCGCGTCTGGGCGGTGGCGGCGGGAGCTGCGGGCCGGGCGCCGCTTTCCTCTCGTTCGGAGCCCGGCCTCGCCGCGCCGTAGTGCTGGGGAGCGCAGCCGGGCACGCTTCGGTGGTCGGCGAGCGGGGAGGCGAGGCTGTGGGTCCGGGCGGGCTGGGGGTGCCGGCGGGCGGGGCCGCGCTTTGTCCCCGGCTCCGCTCCGCTGCCGCAGCCCGGCGGGCGGGCTGGGCGGTTCCGCCGCCCGCTTGGCGCTCGGAGGACGCTGCTGCGGGGAGGCTGTGCCCAATTCTCTGCTTTTGCTCACGGAGGATGAAGTGATGGTACAGCCGTAATTCCTGAGGAGTGCTCGGTGCCGCGAAAACGAGGTGTGTGTTTGCTGACAGAGTATTTGCAACTTTATCCCGTGCCAGTTGCTTCGGTGAAGATATCATCACCCTTCCGACTATCCGTCGCAGTGAAATGCCAGCCTGGAACTTAAGAAGTTGCGGCTTGCCTTAGAACGCTTAGTAAATCTGCCATTACTGCGTTTGATGAGCTGCTGTAACCATATTAAGAAAAAATGCAGCCTTGTTCTGAGTAATTGCCACAAAACAGTCGTTGAGGCGCCCATGCTGAGCTTCGCAGGCAATAACTGCGTGTTTAAACAGGGGTGAGCATTAGCTAGCCTTTGTCCTTTGTCCCTCCGAGCACTGGTGTCACTCACAGCGAGCGTCTGTCCTTTCTCTATGTCCTAACCATGGATGTTATGGTCATCAGGCTCTTCTCCTACGAGCAGTGACTTCAGCAAGACTATAGATCAGGGCAGCATTATTTGGTATTAAAATCCCAAGAGGTTTTCTGTTATTTAATTTGCTCTTATGCTTTCCCTGTTAGTGAGAATTGAAAGGTGATGTCCAGTGGTTTATCAAATAATATTTTGGGTTTGGTTTTGTTGTTTTTTTTGTTTTTTGTTTTGCCTCTGACTGATGACAATCCTATGCTGCCTGCCCAGAAGGGGGAAGCTTGCTTTGGTTTTGAGTCAGCTGCATGTTTGCCTGCAGTTGGGACTGCGTATTATCTGCAGCCCATCCATCAATTGATTTGGTTGTGAGCTAATTTAATGAAGCCAGCTATGCCAGCTGTGTTGTATAAGCTCCAGTAGCTTCATAACAGAGGGTAGGGAGAATGGTCATCTACAGATTACAGAAGGCTAAGAAAGTTTGACATTATTGGGTTGGATTTCTCCCTGTTCTGTCTGCTGGTTGGTGTGCCTTCTGGAGAAGAGTTACATTTCTATTGTTTCAGTAGATATAGGCAGTGGTGGGAAAAAGAACTTCTAAATTGTAGGCTCTCATGCTTACTCAGCCCTTGTTTGAAATCCCTTTCAAAAGCTAGAGCTTATCAGAGTTATTTTGTTTTCCGTGGCAGGGAATGTTCCTTCTGAGCACTCAAGATCAATTTGAGCATAGCATGGGTATTGAGACGTTTCTAAAATTCAAGATGACCTTTGTTCTGAAGACTCATATCCCACACTGTTATCTAGCTTCTTTGAAATTAAGTAACACAATTTTCTGCATCTTTTGGGGTTAGTTTGTACTACTTTCCTGTCTTTGAACATTGCCAAAACACAAAATACTGCTTTTTTTTTTTCTTTTATCAAAGCACAAACTATTAGTGCTCCTAGAGCTGCAGTGTACATAAGTACACAGAGCTTTTGTATACAGGTTTTTCAGTTTAAGACATCTCTTTTGAACATTAAGGTAGGCTCTAATGACGTTCATATGGGAAGATGGCCCCAAGAGAGGAAAACAGGCAAAACCAACAGTAAAGATGGATTATTTTGCTAGATGTTGTGCTTTTCTCTCTGTCTCTGCTTCACCAGTGACTCAGAAGAAAGTTGTTGGTTGCCATTTTGGATTAAATTTGTGTTAAGGAGCACAGTTGCCCAGTCATTCATCCAGCATGGAAGCAAGGGCTGCTCCTGAAATCCGGCTCAGCCTGCTCCTTGTCTGGGGTTAGGGCTCAGCAAAACCAATTCCCAGGGCTGATTTGTGCAGCTGGTCTGGGGAGTTGTGAGGTGAGGGATATAATTAGGGTGCAGGACAGGACTTTGGCTTTTGGCTGCATTCTCCTGGTGTGTTTTTGTGGTGGTGGAAGGGCCCTCAGGCATGAATTGCCTGGCCAGGACTTCTTGCCTTCAGAAGCTGATGCTTTATTTTCTGAAGCTCAGCAACGTTGAGGTGAGATCTGTTTTATTTCTGACAATTCAAGCATGCTTTTAATAAGAAGTAAGTTTACACAGTTTGTAATGATTCTTTCCATTATGTGAAGAGTTGAATGTGTATTAGTTGGCTTGTTGAGCTGCATTAGTGACATTTAAGAAGTGGAATAGTACTTTTTATGTTGTGACTGCGTTTTTCTCACTATGCACAAGTTTAAATGTTCAGTAAAATGGCAAAGTAGCTTTCTGTACAACTTAAATGTTGCTTTCAAAGTTCACTTGTGCTGGTTTTTTGATGTCTGCTTTATTTTTTCGGTTGTCTACCAGTACTGTTGTATTACTAGACTGGTGTTGAAAGTCACATTTAGAACTACAAAGCTTTGTACAAAGGAATCAGTGCGCACATTTCAAGTGACAAATTTGTTACATGCTTTGAAAGTTGTCTCTGGGATTCCTGACTTGACATTTATTACTTTGTAGCCTGTGTGAGTTGGACTGTTCTTCAGTTCGTTTGTTTAATTTGTTTAATTTCCTGGAGAATGTACTGAGAGCAATGACCGCAGGAAGCAATGATCTTTAAGGTGAGTTAAAAGCCCTGCCCTGGGTAACCTGGTGTGTGCTGAGTCTGAAGGCCACTTGCCATGGTTTGGTGTGTGCTAGTGGCTCTCACTGCTGGATGGCAGAAGGGCTGTCACATGAGTGCAGTTATCCCTGTGCTTTGCTGAGGATGATGGAGGAGGCGCCCAAGCACTGAATTCCTCACTTGAGCAGGAATCTGTTACAGAATCCCAATGGTGGCATTAAATCAGCTGCACTCTTAGGCTCTTGTTTTTTTTCTGGGAGGGTGCTGGCAGCAGCTGCCGAAGCTGAAGAAATCCTTATTCCCACACTTGTTCACAGCCATCCCAGCAGGTCAGAATGGCTGCTGCCTGGAGGATGAAGGGCACGGGGCAGCTGTGGATGAAGGCAGCACCCACAAAGCCCCAGCAGCCAGGGAGGGCTCAAAGGGGATGGGTGGCTGCGGGCTGTAGCCTGAAGCTTCCCCTGCACACACTAAGCAGGATCTGTTACTGCCATTAAGCTTTCAGGCTCTGAGCAGTCTGGGTGTGCCCCTGTGGGCTGTTACTAATAAAGCTTGCTGTATAGCATCTCCTGGGAGCTGAGGACTGTGCTGAAGGAGCGTTTTTTTTTCTGGACCTTTCACTTACCCTGATAATGTCTGAGACCCCACCGCAAACAGTTGAGGCATAATACTTTGGGGCTTAGTATTAGTAACATGACCACTGGATGCAAGTGCATGTGCTTGCTTTCAGTTTGGGAGTGAGCCAATGCCCGCTTCCTTTGCCTTATTATTATTTTCCTCATGCTGTAGGAAATTATTACTTTGTTTTCAAAACAGAAATATGTGAGCTTCCTTTCCCTTTGGTGTACATCTTTGCCTTACCTCTGGATGTGTACTGCAGCTTCCTTACTTTGGCAGCCATTTTCTTAAGCTGCATTTCTGTAACATTCTGGCTTTTTCTTTTTTTTCTCCTGAAAGTATCTAATTTGTCTGAGAGAAGGAAAAATAAATGTTATGATTCTTAAATCAGCAAGCTGGAAACTGCTGTCATCTGAAATCCAAGACTAACATAAATGTATATATTTTTAAGAACATGCTACTCTAGTAGTTATTAAAGCATAATAAGTAACTTTGCGTTGTACTGCTGTGTTTTACATGTGTTTGCCCCTCTGGTAAGCGATATAATTTTTACATTTAATACACTGAATAATCATGGACAAGTTTAGTTTTTTGACACCTTTTTATTTTTATTTTTGATTAGTGCTTATGTTTCAGGAAAGAAACTGAAATGAAATGTTTTGGGGGCTGCCAATGCAAGGCTGGCAGAGTGAAGGTCAGCGTGAGGAGGCCAGGCTGCATCTGGCTACCTGCTTACTGTCAGCACAATTCTTCAACCACACATAGATTTTGCAAGTCATGTGATTTCTAGTGGTGACTAGCTGATGTTAAAGCTCATTAACAGAAGACCAAATAGCGTGTTTGGAAGTCAGATCGATCATGCAGAACTATTTAATTGCCTTGGGTTTTGATGTGGTATGCGTTGAAGGGGAAGCTCTCATAGGTTTTCGTGTGTCAGAACTGAATGCCTCTCCAAAGTGCCTGCACACCCATGCTCAAGTGTGTGGAACAAATTGAAGGAATTGGAGATCTGTGCACAGCTGCAGGACTGCAGTGTCACTGGGGTCACAGGAACGTGGCAGTGGCTGCTGCACTGTGGTTGGGTACAGGCTGTGCAGGAAGAACCAGCCAGATGGCAAGCAGAGGTTGCCTTTGTGTGGGAGAGCAGTGGAGCCTCACTGTGGGACTGGAGAGGATCAAGCATAGCAAGCAGAGCAATATGGGAACTGTCGTATTTGTATGTCTGCTACAAGCCACTTGATGAGGCAGAAGAAGTCCTCTTCAGATAGGTGGAAGGAGCCTTGGCCCTCACAGGAGATTTTACCCACCATTATCTGCTGGAGGAAAAAGTCAGCAGAGTATGAGCAGTCCAGAAGGCTTTTGATGTATATCAGTGACAACTTCCTGACCCAGGTGAAGATAGATGTGGAAAAGTCTGCTGGACCTCACAGCATGAATAAGGAAGCATTGCCTGCAGGGGTGAAGGTCAGGGCAGCCATACGTGTGTTGGCCATCAGG